TACCCGCTGGCCCCAACCAGCTCATTCGGAAAAAAACGGTCGCTGATTGGCCGCTGACGACTGTTAGCTCATTCAGGAAGTAACGGGGGTTTTGATTACCTGCTGGCCCCATCTAGCTCATTCAGAAAAACGGTCTCTGATTGGCCGCTGGCGAACGTTCTGAGACCCGAGCGCGAAACTGTCCGGTACTCCCCGAATGGGCCATCATTGTTATTATGATTATTATTTTCAGAGACGGGATTGTTGTTGAGTACTCTGATCAAGTTTGGGACGGGACATTCACGAAAACGGTTGTTGATTGGCCCGCCTTTACTACTATACTGCTGGTCACTTTGGACGGGTTCGGGACAGACTCCCTGACCGAGCAATTATTGATATTTTCTTTTCTAGATGATGGGACTGCTGCTCACACGCGCGCCAGGCTGCTGAGTAGACCGGGAAGGGGAGACTTTCACCCTCCGCACAGGTAAATCCCGTCTCCATTTACCCTCGCTGTTACTGAATCCAGCCACGCGAGGCTCGAGTCGGGACGCAGTAAGAGAGAGAGAGAGAGAGAGAGAGAGAGAGAGAGAGAGAGAGAGAGAGAGAGAGAGAGAGAGAGAGAGAGAGAGAGAGAGAGGCCCTGATCATCCTCCCTCCGGAGGGAACCGTGCTTAAAGAGTTTGGAGTTCAGAGGTGTAACCGAGCGTGTGGGCAAGCTTCTTTGAACAGCTGGGGTATTGAAATACGGGGGAACCCTAATCACATGGCCTTGTGAGTCGAGTTTCTCAGAGATTTATATCAATCTTTTGTTTCTCTTCTCTCTTCTTATTCTCTTTCGTCGCGCAACACTCCTCTGCTGGGGAGGATTGGTTCTTAGTTTGTCGCAAGTTCAATTTGGTGTTCGCTGCCAGGGCAAAGCACATGCACGCTATCTGTTTCCAGTGTATGCGACTTGAGCTCGACAAAAACCAGTGTTTGAAAAACACTTGAAACGCAGACTTCCTATGGTACACATGCGAATTTGAGGCACTGGGTCATGCGGCGAGGGGCATTTTCTGATTGATGTTCGAATCTGAGGTCAAAGCAATTTCATTTAATTTCATTTTCATTATTTCTTTTTATCATGTGCACTTCTGATCAGCCTATACTAAAAGCTATCAGTGTCGGTTATCGAACGAACGAACTTGACAGTCAGGGCTAATTCCATCCCCCTGCAGGTCGCTGAGGATCTCGGAAGCGGGCGAGGCGAGTGACAGGCGCCGTTGCCCTTGGCTTCAGCGAATTGCAGGCAACCCCTCCCCGATTTTTCTCACACCGTAACCAATAGAACTAGGCCTAAGGCGGAGCTAGGTAGGCGCGAACTTGCATATGATTAGCTGCAGGACCAATAATTTTATATTATCCGCACAAACCAGGCCTTCGCCTCGGCCTACGGACCAACCACCTGGCCGTTAGAAGATGATAGTCGCCTCTAGGTTCGTGGTTGCCTGGTAACCTGGCCGCCTGACACACCACATGTTCTTGTCGAAACTCTCGACTTTCCTCATGCTAAGCCTGACAAGGCCGCGCCTTTTAACGCGTTGTCAAGCAAGGTTTTCCTTCGTATGCACAAGGTAAGGTCTTTATCTTCTTTGTGACGCATTCCGCCAGAGGCTGTGCCGGTTCGCGGAGTAAAGCTAGTCTTTATAAAATAGAAGAAAAATATAGCCAAATTAAAAAATACAGAAAAGGTATCCGGGCCCTATGGCTTTGGCGCCTTTCGTCGACCTGGTACTGTCGATGACTAACGACCACCTCACAGTGCAACGCAATAATGTGTGCCCCACACACTCTCTAAGTCGGTCGTATTTGACTTGGAGTCTCGCCAAGAGCGAGGTTGCCGAGGTGAGCGCCCTGAGGGGATTCGCCCCATCAGCGCGTTACGTTGATCAAGGACGCACCCAAAGCGACTTTCGAAAAGAACGGCAAATACCCTTGTAAGGGTGTTTGCTACGGTAACGATCACCAACAATTTAGGTGCAAGAACGCGAAGGTTACACAAAAGATCGGTCCCAAAGGCAGCTTTGGAGGATTGCTCTCCCAAAGTGGAACCTTTGCGAGTTCCAGTTCGGGAAACACATTGGACCAGTAGAAGTTATAGCTGCTTCTACTCTCGATGAAGTGGGTGACGTACCCTCACCACTTCAAGAGTTGGTCGAAGCTATCGACTCTTTAGTCACCCCGCAGACGCTTCCTGACCCAACGATACTATGTTCGTCGGATGTGTCTGAGGCCTTAGAGGACTTACAAAGTGAGTGGGTCGGCAAGGGACCATCGCGAGTCTTGGGTGGCGCTTAGGAGAGGTCCGCAAGTGTGGTGCCTTCGTAGACATCAGCTCCACGAGAAACTTCATAAGTCGCGATTGCGTTGAGAGACTGCGCCTAGGGGACCGGGTGCAGTGCCTTAGTAGACATTTGGCATCTACTTTGGCCAACTAAGAGCGCATGTTAGTTGAAGATTATGTCAAGGACGTAGTCTGCACCTTCTATTATGGAGGTGGGGAGCTAAATCATAGGATTTCGTTCCTAGTCAGCGAGGACTTGCCCTTTGACGTGTTGTTGGGTATGTACTACCTCGAGGTTGCCAAACTCCAATTTGACTGGGACAGAAAAGTGCTAAAGCATGTACTACCGGAAGGGAGGACAGTCAGACTTGCCACGTACAAAGCTAGCAGTCTAATAGACACATACAAATGTACGTGGGCATCAACCTTTTATAACTACTATAAACAGAACCAAGAGAAGGGTATGCACTTAGTCTTTTTCTTTGATAAAGGGGAGGTCGTTAAAATACTCCCAGAGATAGAAAATGTCGTCGCCAGGTACCCTGATTTGTTTGAAGAGCCCTCAGGAGTCGTAGACAGGGAGGTTGTCCATGCCATAGAGATCATCCCTGGGAGCAAGATCCCCAAAGGGAGAATCTATAGGATAGCTCCGGCCGAATTGGATGAGCTTCGTCGATGATTGAGAGAGCTTACAAAGAACGACCTAGTACCTCCTCCTTCGGCTCACCAGTCTTATTTGTCCCGAAGAAGGGGCGGGCAATAAGGATGTGCATTGATTATAGAGGCCTCAATGCCATCACTGTGAAAAACACAGAGCCTCCACCATGCATCGATGACCTGTTGGACAGAGTCAGGGATGTAAGTACTTCACTAAGATAGATTCGAACTCCAACTACCATTAAATTGTTGTTAGACATGAGGACCATCACAAAACCGTGCTTCAAACCAGGTGCAGTCTGTATGAGCTTGTGGTGATGCCCTTTGGCCTTCGCAATGCGTTGGGAACATTCGAGCACGCCATGAATAGGATATTCCATGACTACTTATGGTTGTGTACCTCGACGACATTCTTATCTTTAGTAGAACAGTCGAGGAGCATGCTGAGCACTTAGACACTGTTCTTTCACTCCTACGACAACACAACTATAAGATTACCTCAGAGAAATGCGAGTTCGGTCGCACTAAAATCTTGTACTTGGGTCATGAGATACCTGCGAATGGGGGCCTGGAGATGCTAAGGTGGCTAGCATCCATGATTGGCCACGACCTCATTTTGTGACCGAGGTCAGATCATTCTTAGGGATGATTGGCTACTACCGCAACTTTGTCAAGAACTATAGTACGGTGGCCAGCCCTTTGAATGATCTCACTCACCTTGACACACCATGGCAATGGATTGACGAGTGTGAAGCTGCTTTCAAGCGATTGAAGCATGCTCTCACGCACCATGAGGTTCTAATGGTTCCCGATCCTCAGAGGCCATTTCTAGTGAGCACTGCATTAAGCCAATATGGCATTGGCACAGTGTTGGCTCAACAGGAAGGGAATAAGTTGAGGCCAATCGAGTGCATGAGCAAAAAGATGCCTTCTAAGAAGTTAGAAAAGTCCACCTACAAAAGCGAACTCTATGCGCTCTAAAAGGCGTTTGTCCACTGGAGACACTATCTGTCGGGAAAATTCTTCTATCTGAGAACTGACCATCAGACCTTGAAGTGGATCAAGACACAACTTGTTCTCTCCGATGCACTCGAACGATGGATTGAGGTCATAGACCAATATGACTTCACGTTGGACTGTGTGAAGGGAGAGTATAACAAGGTTGCTGATGCACTGTCACTTAGGGCTGATTACCTGGGTGCGCTAATTATTTAGTTTGGCCTATCTGAGAATGTTACTTGATTGCTGGTGGAAGCCTACAAGGACGACCTTGCCACGGTGGACATCATCCCCGAACTTGAGGCCCAAGAGAAGGCCACATTTGAGGAGTTTGTGATGGTGGACAAGTTGCTCTTTCTTGAGAAGGCGGGGTTTAAGAGATTAGTTGGTGAGTGCCATGACGCAACGAGACATTTTGCCTATAAGAGGACTAATGCTAACTTAGTGGCCTAACATGCTGGACAATGCAAAAAAATATGTACAGACTTGTCAAGTCTGTCAACAGGACAAGCCACGGAGTCGAGCTTCGCTTGGGTTCCTAAAGCCTCTACCCATTCCTGCTGGTTCGGGAAAGAGTGTTTCCATGGATTTCATGGATACCCTCGTGACCAGCAAGAGTGGCAAAATGTATATTTTCGTCGTAGTTGATAGGTTCACTAAGTACGCTAGACTAATTGCCATGTCGAAGACCGCCAAGATTGAGCACCTCATCAAGTTATTCATGGATAACTGGGTGCGTGACTTTGGACTGCCAAGGACAATTGTTAGTGATAGAGATGTCTGCTTCACTACCGAGATGTGGAAGAAGGCTGCAGAACAGATGGGCAGCCAACTGGAGATGACTTCAGGGAATCATCCTGAATCCAACGGGCAGCTTGAACAAATGAACCGAGCGGTGCAACATTTGCTGAGGGTCTATAAAAAACCCAACCAAGATGACTGGGATGAGAAGTTGCCTCTCATCGCCAGTCTGTACAACAATGCTGTACACAACACCACCGATGTCACTCCTAATCAGCTCTAGCCTTGACCTTCGTAGATGCCTTGGCCACAACATTGGTTGTTGACGGAGGGGGAGGGAGAAGGTGTGAAGGTACTTGGCCATGGTGGACGGGTTAAGAAGGCGGATATGGGAAAAGGTGTGAAGATGCTTGGCTATGGTGGATGGGTGAAGAAGGTGGAGGTGGACGGTGTGATGGTGCTTGGCTATGGTGGATGGGTAAAGGATGTGGGGGTGGAAGAAGGCGTGAAGGTACTTGATTATGGTGGAGGGATGGAGGTGGAGGTGGAAGGTGTGAAGGTGCTTGCCTATGGTGGATGGGTGAAGGAGGTAGAGGTGGAAGAAGGCGTGGAGGTGGAAGAAGGTACTTGGGTATGGTGGATGGGTGAAGGAGGTGGAGGTGGAAGAAGGTGTGGAGGTGGAAGAAGGTGTGGAGGTGGAAGAAGTTGTGAAGGTACTTGGCTATGGTGGATGGGTGAAGGAGGTGGAGGTGGAAGGCGTGAGGGTGCTTGGCTATGGTGGAGGGGTGAAGGAGGTGGAGGTGGAAGAAGGCGTGAAGGTGCTTGGCTATGGGGGATGGATGAATAAGGTGGAGGTGGAAGAAGGTGCGAAGGTATTTGGCTATGGAGGATGGGTGAAGGAGGTGGAGGTGGAAGAAGCTGTGAAGGTGCTCGACTATGGTGGATGGGTGAAGGAGGTGGAGATGGAAGGAGGAGTGAAGGTGTTTGGCTATGGTGGATGGGTGAAGGAGGTGGTGGAAGAAGGTGTGAAGGTGCTTGGCTATGGTGGATGGGTGAACGAGGTGGAGGTGGAAGAAGGTTTGAAGGTGCTTGACTATGGTGTATGGGTGAAGGAGGTGGAGTTGGAAGAAGGTGCGAAGGTACTTTGCTATGGTGGATGAGTGAAGGAGGTGGAGATGGAGGGAGGTGTGAAGGTACTTGGCTATGGTCGATGGGTGAAGGAGGTGCGGATGGGTGAAGGTGGAGGTGGAAGAAGGTGTGAAGGTGCTTGGCTATGGCAGATGTGTGCAGGTATTTGGATATGGTGGATGGGTGAAGGAGGTGGAGGTGGAAAAAGGTATGAAGGTGCTTGGATATGGTGGATGGGTGAAGGAGGTGGAGATGGAAGAAGGTGTGAATGTGTTTGGCTATGGTGGATGGGTGGAGGTGGAAGGTGTGAAGGTGCTTGGCTATGGGGAATGGGTAAAGGAGGTGGAAGTGAAAGAAGGTGTGAAGGTGTTTGGCTATGGTGGATGGGTGGAGGCAGAGGTGGAAGAAGGTGTGAAGGGACTTGGCTATGGTGGATGGGCGAAGGAGGTGGAGGAGGAAGAAGGCGTGAAGGTGCATGGGTATGGTGGACCCTAAGCTTCTAGTCCGTACCTTCTTGCGTGGTCTCAACATTCGAACCATTAGAAAAACTCAGATTTGCAAAATGCTGTCTTGCAACAGACATTCAGACTTTGCAAAATCCAAACCCGCAAAAAAATTGAGACTTCGAAAAACCAAGATTTGCGATTTTTCAGTTTTTGCCAATTTTGAGAGTCGGAAAGCATAGATTTGCGTTTGGTGACCCAAACGACGCCAGATGTCCATGTAACTTCATAGGCCCTCTGTCTATACCCTACTGAAAACCTCCCTAAAGTTTGACCGGATTCCGTCGCTGTTTCCTCTACTTGCCTGTTTTGGGCACCGCTCGAGGCTCTAAGTGAACAATTCGGGAAATTTGTTTTCTGTTTTTGCGGGTAAATAAACTCAGGTGGCCTAGCGGTTTTGCAAATCATCTATATATGCCTAGGATATGGGGCCTCTTCAATCTCAACCCCCATATCCTTTTGATTAGCGGAGTTGTTTTTCGGTAGCCCGGGCTGCACCAGCCGGTTGGCTATTTCGACCCGACGCTTGCCCTGGGACTTGGATGACGGTTTTCTCAACAGCAGCAACAACAAGGCTTGACCAAGCATCAGCAGCAACAACAATAACCTTGTTATTAGTAGCAATAGCAACAGCAACAACTACAGTTCCCTACCTACTCCCTTTCTTATTGTGTTCAAGTAGAGCACGAGGGTGGTGAAGAGGTGTTCAAACCAAGCATGGGGGGGGTTAGTGTGTCATTCAAATAGAGCACATGGGGTGTAGAGCTGCCACAAACATAGTGTCTACTGTGTACACACGAATAATGATAACATTAATACTAAGATGAGCAAGAAATAGAGTTGTGATGTACACCCAAATGCATGAGAACTCAAAATGCAAATTGGCGAAGTACTTTGAAGTGGAAGAATGAACAAATCATGAGTATATGATGACATCAACACTAAGAAGACCGAGGAATAGAGTTGCGATCTACACCCAAGCGGAAAGATGGTAAAGAAGTGGAGGGAGAGAATGAAACGCATGAAAATTCAAAATACAAAGTGGCTAATTACTTTGAGGTGGGAAAATGGACAAATCATGAGCATATGATGACATCACCACTAAAAAGACCACGAAATAGGATTGTGATTTACCCCAAGTGGAAAGATCATCAAAAAGTGAATGAAGAGTGAGTGAAACTCACTCTCATGCATGGGAAATCAAAGTGCAAAGTGGCGAAATACTTTGAAGTGGGAAAATGGACAAACCACGATCATATGATGACATCAACACTAAGAAGAGCAAGAAATTGGATTGAGATTCGCACCCAAGTGGAAAGATCATAAAAAAGTGAAGGGATGGTGACTCTCATGCATGGAAAATCAAAATGCAAAGTGGCGAATTACTTTGAAGTGGGAAATTGGACTACACGAAGACAATCTCTAGTGGAGAAGCTAATTCCTATCGTCACATGCTCAATATGCCAGTTATGGAGAGAGGGGGAGAGGGGGTGAGAAGAACGGAAGGAGATGGAGAAAAATGGAGACTAATCAGGAGAAGAAGAAAAAGAAGAAGAAGAAGAAGAAGAAGAAGAGGAAGACCGAGAAGAAGAAGAAGAAGAGGAAGAGTGGAAGAAGATGAGGAAGAAGAAGAAGAAAAAAGAAAAGAAGGAGAGGAAGTAGAAGAAGAAGCAGCCTCTCAGTCACCTCCTCTAGCATTTTGAGATGGAGATGCCAGCCTTGGTGAAGCCCTCTCCCTCTTTGCACTCCTGCAAACCAGCTATGGCTTCCTTCTTCTTCAAGCCCTCATCTCGTTCCTTCCCAGTCCTCTCGCAGGCTATGGCAAACTCTTACCACTAAGGCTATGGAGTCGTCCCCTCTAGGAGGGCTAAGTGGACCCCCACTAGCCTGCCTCTCTTTCTCACAGCCCGGGGGATATGGCGGATCACTTCCTTGGGCCAATACCACCTCAACCAGCCTCAACAACCTCTCCCAGTAGCCTACAGTCTCCTCGAAGCTTTCAAACTAGCAGCGGTTCCCCTCCCCTGACTTCGGTTGAGTGTAGAGCTCTCTTGGGCTCACGCAGGCAGCATGTACTTGCCTAATGCAAATGTGAGTGTGGCGGGCTGCTCCTCCAGCTTATGTAGGCAGGGCACAACACTTTGGCCAGCCCATGGGCCTCATGTGCCCCGAGGTGAATCGTGGTACCCCCAAGGCTTTTTTTTCCCCCTAAGCCTCTCCTGGAGCACCTGGGTCTCTTTTTGGCCAGGTACATGCAATCCGAGTGATTGGTACCAGCTCGGCCTGCTTTTAGAGTCTCGACATGCCTCATTTTCACTTTCAGATGCTGCCCCTTGGGTTCGAAAATTCTACTTGAAAGAAAAAAACCTTGTGGGTTTTTTTTTTCTATTTTTTTTGTTCCTTCCCCAATTTGAGTAGGCCGGGGCATTCCCTTGTACCTCGGTGCTATCTCTACCTTGGATCTTGTTGGGATCCAAGACCGACATTAATCCGAACTACCCCCAAGTAGTCCTTGCTTCAAATCTACGGCGAAAGCCCCCTTTTTTAATTTTTGGTGCATTTGGCCTTCTTTTTCGGCCAAATGCACTGTTTTGTCTTTTTGCATTTTTTGTTTTTTTCTAGGTTACCAGATTGAACGTCCGGGACCCCCCTGACCGTCCGAGGTTGTCGGATCGGACAACTGGTCGGACGTCCTTCCCGGGCAGTGTGTACGAAGCCCGAATGGCCAAAAAAAGAAAAGAAAAAAAAAAACTCAAAAAATTCCGAAAAAAAACTATGTTATGCAGAAAAATAAACTGAACAACTTTTGCCTTGGGGTTACATCAAAATTTTTATAAAATTTAAAATAAAAAATAAAACGAGATTCTTTGTAGAATATAAAATATAAAATAAAAAATAAATATACAAAAAAATAAAATGAACAACTTTTGCCTTGGCCTTGCTACTGTTTCCTTCCCAGTGTGAGTGTGAGTATGTGTGTGTGTGGGGGGGGGTGTCGGTGTGTGTTTGTGTGTTAGACAGAGCATCTGTGTGTGTGTACATAGTGCGAGTGTGTGTACATAGTGCGTGTGTGTGTGCATATAGTGTGTGTGTGTGTGCGAGTAGATAGTTTGTGTGTGACTGTATGTATGTGTGCTCATGTGCGTGTCACTCGTGTTTGTGTGTGGATAAAATGTATGTGTGTGTGTGTGTGTGTGTATGTGTGTGTGTGTGTGTGTGTGT